GGGGTCGCGTCAGGGTGCCCTCTCTCTAACTGCAGGCCGTGTCTGCCCTGTTTGGGGGGTTATTTTTTTAATAGAAGGCTTCTTGGGTTTAATAAACTATTTGGTGGTGTTTTGTTTTGTTTGGTGGTTTGTTTCTTTTTTTTGGCTGGGGACGAGGAGCCTCTTAGGTTCGAATGTAAATATCTGTATGAATGGCAGTAGCGCCAGTGGTCCTTGCTGTGGTTTTGCTTAACCTTTTCTTAATGATTTAAATTAAGGGAGGGTGGTGCTTGTTGCTAAAAAGCGAGTTAGTAACTATTTAAAACCCGACTTGACTTTGGCTGCAGTTTGATAGCGGCCTGTCTATATTTACATGTTTCATGTGACGGGATCTGTGCATATTTGGGCGAAGCGAGGCGTGCCTGGGAGCCGTTCCCACGTCCTCCTAGAGATACGAACTCGGTACATCTTCTTGGGGGGCTGAATTTGCCTTTTTATCGGAGTGAGGAGAGGGGAGGCGGGCGCCAGAGAACTGAGAGTACCTAGGCGAGGCTGCAGCTCACTGGAAGGGGATGCAAGGGGAGACGTGGTTGTAAGAAGCCCTTATTTAGGTGTTTCTTCATTACCAGTTCTGCAGAAGTGAAATGCTCCCTTTGTGTTGTGGGGATTCAGGCGCTGGCTGAGATGAACCGGTGGAGAGAAGTACTGTCTTGGGTCCTACAGTATTACCATGTTCCTGAACATCTGCCCCCAAAAGTTCTGGAGTTGTGGTGAGTTTCTGTGTGTAGCTGTCAGATATACACAGGGCTCGCGTTAGATTTAATAGCAGGCCAGGCTTGAACATTGTGTGGCATTTTCACTTTGCGTGGTGGGAGAATGAAAGCGGAACCTGGGACAGGCCTGTTCTCAACCTGCGTGTGCTGGAGCATGCCTGCAGGTTGCTTCACGGTGATAAAGTACAAAAGGGCTGATGCTGAGAAAGTAACATCAGTGGCTGCACCTATTGTCTGCCTCAGGAGTTTCTGTGCTAGGCTGTTTGTCCTTGGCAGCGTAGACCCAGGTACATCCCTTCATGATAGCTGCTTGTGGGTAGTAACTGTCAGTGATCTCAACTTTTACAAAGAGTTAGTGTTTTCTAGTATTTCTTTCTTGTATTTCAGTATCCTGTTATACAGCAAAGTGAGAGAGCCCCAGGTGATGCTGGAGGTTGGCAGTAGCTGGCTGAGAGACCAAACCAACAAGAGCCTCCCCGAGTACAGTTCATTGCTGGAGCTCTATCTGCTGCACGTGTTGCTTCCGCTTGGCCGGTTTGAGGGGGCAGAAGAGCTTGTACGTGGCTGTGATGTTTTTGACAGCGAGCAGCAGCTAGCGTTTCTTGGGACCATTTGTGAAAGCCGATGTCAGTGGACTCAACGAGAAGAGATGCACTCGGCTGCTGAGGAACAGCAAGACGCAGCAACAGAAACTGTTTTGGGTAGGCTTTCCCTCTGTTGTTTGTGCTCCTTTTTAAAAAAAAAAAAATTATTTCAAGTTAGTTAGTCCCTTACTAACAAAGGGTAGCAAGTATTAAGTAAGCACAAAGAATATTGTCATAACAAACCAGCCATGAGGAAGTCCTGTTGGGGATCACAGAAGGAAATGGAAGACTTAGCGATCCATTTGCTGACAATTCCAAAGTGCGTTTAGTCTCTGCTAAAGTAAAGAGATAAGAATTGTTTTCCAGGTTAAAAAGCGCTTCAGAATAAATGTATTTAAAAAAAAAAAACAGGTACAAAAGGGAAACTAAAATTACTAGCAATTCTTTAAAGGCACATTTTATTGGCTCTGTGTACTCTCCGTTTATAGTCGAGCCCATGTAGAACAGTGCACATCTGGCACTTAGTGCTGCTTCTCCAAAACTGTAAGTCACTTGACGTCATCTCCCACGAGAGAAGCTGACACTACTGCGGTATAAGATTGTATTAAACTAAAGTAGATGCCTAAAAAAAAAAAAGTATAATTAGTTCTATTGTAAAATTGTACTGTTTCTATGTTCCCTATTACAAAAAATAAAAACCCAACCCAACTCTCATGCAATCAAACTAAGAACGGTCTTACTTTAGTATCTTAGTTTCTTATCTTTATCTGTGTGATTACTTCTTTTACTTTACTTTGCCCTAACAGCCTTTCTGTTCTTGTGTTCTAGGTGCTCTGTCCCAAAAGCTCTGGACCATGTTGACATTGCTGCGTAGAGCACTGAGGTCCATGTCCAGCCACTTCTATTTACTTCCATACAAAAAGATGCTCTTGGCTACTTTCCTGCTGTACCTGGTGGTGGTGAGATTAGACCCAGGTACAGCATTAAGATTTCAATTTTCTTCAGTCCTATTGTGGTTACAGAGAAGAAAATAATTGCTTTTCATAGATCTGGGAGACCCAAAACCTGGGTGTCTCGGAACTTATTATTTGGGCTTGTTTCTAATGTTTCCAGTTGCAGTCCGTGTAGAAAGATGTAGCTCCACAAAAGCTAGTTTTCTGTAAACAGTTACTAGATCCTCAGCTCTTTCTAGCAGACAAAGTACAGACTGTGAGAGGCGGGTTGAGCTGTCCTAGACTCAGCCTCTGTCATCTTGAGGTGCTACAAGGTGAGTATCTTAGAAGAGTGATTGCCTTGTAGGGCTGTCCTGTCAGGAAAGTGGAGGGTTGCCCAAGGCTGCAATGTAGTCATGCGTTTGATCTGCTTATGTTGGCGTCTAGCTAGTGATGGCTGCTGCTGCTGCTGAAGAATGGGCTGGTCCTGTGATGTAGAGGTGGCAGCTGGGGCGTGGTGGGGATGGGTGTTTCCCCTTCTGCTGCGTGGCAGGTGCTCCATAGCTATTCTGCAAGTAGTCCCTTGGAAAATGCTGGAGAAGGCTCGCTAGGGATGCAAGCAGTGCCCTGAGTGAAGGCCCAGTCACAGAGTCCCACAGAAAAACGTAAGACAACTAGGTTTTGATTAACTCCTAGTTGGGATTAGTTCTTTCTTAATAGCTTTAGTGTATCTTAGCTTTACCTTTTATAATAAAGGCTCCTTTGCTTTTTGTTTTGTTCTGCAGCTTCTCCCACCTCACTGCCGTTTATTTACAAACTGGTCCAGCTCTTCTGACACGCTTGGGCAGCTGTATTTTCTCCAATCCACAGGCCTCCAGTTCGAGACTAAGTGTCTTCCATCACGGAATGCATTTTTCTGTGCTGCTGTAAAACCGTCAGCTTGTCCTGAGGATGTTGTTAGGCTCTTCAAGGACTTGAAATCTGTGTCCTAATTGAGATGACCCTGTGAAGTCCTGTGCAGTGATTACCTTCATCACCGCCTTCAGATGGGTAGTGGTGGTGTATGAATTTTGAAACCACGCCAAGTATTCCTGATGTTTTGCTTGGCTCTGCAGCACCATTCTGTCCAACACCAGGGTAAAGCCACTTCTTCCGTAATCTACAACTGAATAAGAATCCTCCTTTTCAAACTCTTTGGTTTGGATGCAGCTCAAGTGGGGGTTGTGTAGCCAGTTATGAGCTATGGAAGAAGGCTCTGTCCTTGCAAATGCTGGGCAGTTCCCTGAACAAGTGAAATAGCATTCCTGGAGACATTACTATAAAAGGCAACAGAGTACCAGTAATGAGGGGAATATTCTGTTTTGCCTGAAAAGTCCAGCATGGCATTTAGGACAGGCACGTGGAACATAAACACTGGAGAAAGTGAAGCCTGTTGCATTTTGAAGGCCATGGTTTTTCTTGTGACTGATGCCTCCTTATACAGGCGCTCTTGATTTTAGTCCTATTTAAGCCAGAAAGCCAAGGTGGTGGGCCGCCAAGACTATTGTCCTCCACCTGCTCTTCTAAAATGCAAATTACAGCACTTCATGCTTGCCTGATGCATAGTAATTCTTAGGAGCACGTTGTGGTGATAAGGAAATAGATTTATTTTTTTAAACTATATTCTATATTGTTGTCTAGT